TTTCGGATCATCTCATAATGTATTCGGTCCGGACCTGGGGACACGTGTTTACGGACATTAAAAGCCATTTGGAACTCAACCATTATAAACGGTTGGTTATAGGGTACAGAGGCTTCTCCTGCCCAGCTCACTTTCTTTCTTTCTGCGTCTGTCCTAAACTTCCAAAACGCTGAAGAGTAATGGGAGGAGTTAGAAATGTCTGCAAAATGTTCGCCCAATACATTTGCGTGGTCGCGCAACGAGTCCACTAAGGGAAAAAGAGGAACTGTAAAACAGTGGTTTTACCTTCGAATTTGTGAAGGAGTTCCCATACTTCCTTTGCTGGGACGTAGCTGCTGATAGAGGTCAGATATCTCCGAATATACTCCAAGCCTTATCCTGTTTTTCTTAGTGGCGGCACATTGTTTATTTTACCATAGTTTACGTGTTTTGGCTATGTTACATGAAGTCTGAGGAAAGGAGCGAAAGGCAGCATATATGATCTGATCCGTAATGTAGATGGTTGCTTCATCATGTTTTAATGGCAAGAACATGCAGGGTTTGTGCTCCGTGTTTAAGCTAAAAAGACCACAGTCTGCCTTTTCCGGTTACCAACGATGGCTGCGTTTCATGAGGCTTGGAATAGAAACCTGACCCTCCAGAACGACTGGAAAGTGGTCGCTACCAAAGGGGTTATTTAAAACTTTCCAAGTAAATAAAGAAAACACTGAGGGAAATGAAATCGAAAGGTCAATAGACGTAAATGAGTTGTGAACTGCGCTAAAAAAGGTTGGCTCTCTCGTATTCACAAGGCATAGCCCAGACGACAATAGAAATCGCTCAATTACTCAACCACGCGAGTCCTGACAGGTGCTACCCCACAAGGGGTGGTGAGCATCAAAATTACCTAACAGTAAAAATAGGTAAGAAAGCTGTGTAACCAGTCGTTGAAGATCATGAAGATGCAGTAGAGTGGTTGGTGGAACGTAAATAGAAACAACCGTAATAAGGCAGTCCAGAAAAAAAAAAGACGTACAGCCGCAGCCTCAAGAGGCGTAGCAAGAAAAACCTGAGAGCAGGCAACGCCATTCTGGATGGCCACAGCTACCCCACCAGGTGTATTTGATCTTTTCTAAAAACTTGATGGCAGCGCAATACTGACTTACGATGACCTTTGAGGTCCATCGTAAGCTCTCTCTTGTAAAGAGAGAGCAATAGGACGTAAATCGTTTATGAAAATAACGTCGTCAATATTACGTATAAGACCGCAGAAGTTCCACTTTCGATGGCTGCGTTTCCATGATCATCATGCTAAACCATGATCATCATGCTCTCCAGGAAGACCTAGAGTCTGTAATCCATTGGTGTGAAAAATGGCAGATGACATTAAACTTCAATAAATGTAGATCCCTATCGATTTCCCGCAGTTCGCGTGCCACACCATTTTCGTATTACCTCTCTAACACTCAAGTAATAGCATGCTCATCTTATAAGTACCTGGGTGTTCATCTCACCTCTGACCTATCATGGACTACTCACATAACTTCTGTTATTTCTGATACTAACCGTTCTCTCGGATACTTGCGCCGTAACCTTAAACTTGCTACACCCTCCGTAAAACGACTAGCGTATACTACTCTTATAAGATCGAAATTAGAATACGCCTCATCTATATGGTCCCCATGGCAGTCCTACCTTGCAAATAATCTAATCCGTCCAAAACAGAGCCCTTCGTTTTATTTATAACAACTACTCACCATATACCAGCATATCAGGATTACGCCAATCAGCTAACCTTCATTCACTTTCCCTTCGCCGCCGAGTATCACGCCTTTCTCTCCTCCATCGAATTTTCTATCACAATAGCCACCTTAAAGAATCACTGCTATCACCTCCCCATCGTATTTTCCCGCGTCTAGATCACCTATGTAAATTACGTCCAATTCGATCATCAACTGTTTCTCACCAGACTTCCACACTACCATTGGCCATCAAGGATTGGAATTCGCTACCTCATAACATCGTTTGTATTAATGATACTACTAAATTTGTTGAAGCCATTACCCTCTTTTTATCTAACCTACCTAGCTAGCTTACAGTGTTATAATTGTGTTTACTGTTCTATTTGTTTTTGTTCTATTGCCACCCCCTTGTATAATGCCCCACGGGCCCTCAAGGAAAATAAATGATGATGATGACTGCATGAAGTGAAATTTAGCCATTCCTTTAAAAAAAAAATATATATATATATATATTAAAACGTTGCTAAACTTGTAAAACAAAAAATAAATAATACATAAACAAGTCACAAATCTGCCGCTCATGGCAACAATAGAACAACAGCATCACTTTGGGGGAATTACAGGTTTTGTGTTCTTCTGTTTCCTCTTGAGAATCTGCCAGTCTATGTCGTCTTGGTCGGACTCATGAATGGAGACTTCCGCGCCATCATCCATTGCCTCTGCTTCTTGAGGCGAGGCCTTTGCTGCGGGTTTGGGTAGGCTCGGAGAACGTTGCGCCATGCCCCGTCCACGACCATGATCAGCCGAAGGGGCGGAGGTGAGCTGGGCGGGGCATCGCCCAAGTTCACCGGCGATGTAAGCAGTCGCGCGATCCGACTAGATCGCATCGCAAAAAGAAAAAAAATTAGATGGTCATACTGGCGTGCGCGATGAGCGAGTCCAACGCCTTCGTTGACGAGTCGTTTCTTGAAAACAATCGCTCCGAACGCCGTTGATTGGCTCAACTGCTCCGCGACTAGACCGCATCACAAAAGGTCGGGTCAGCAAGCGACTGCTCAAATCGCGTCGCTTTTTTCCCCACGATGGTCGCTTTTGCGATGAAAGTTTTCGCGCGACTAGATCGCATCGCCGGTGTGAACGCGTCTTTAGGCCCTGCAGGTGCGACACGAGAGCCATGCCGCCCCTTCGGCGATGCTCTATCCAGTGAGCATCATGGGAGTGTCGACCCTTCTTCCTGGAAGGAGGTTGCGGAGGAAGGTCGTTTGCCGTAGTCACCGGCCCATCCTGTGCTTAAGAAGCTGCCTGCATACCCTCTTCATGAGAAGGCAGGCGCTGCTGTCCCGCAGGAGTGCGAGTGTTTGCGCTCTGGCTAGGAGGGTCAGCAGACCGACCAGTCGAAATTGCACGCCCTAAAAACTGAATCTTCAGCTGGGGTGTGGGGGACTGCCATGGCTTCCCAATATCCAGAAAAGATGTCTGGATTGCCACTGCAACCTTCAGTGATGCAGTGCCCCGCTGCACCACCTGCGCATAGCCACCTTTGAGCAAGAATGCAAAGCGACGACGCGCTTCCGGGTAGGAGAGGTTTTCTTTGACCCTCGAGGTAAGAACTACTTTTTCTTCTTTCCGCGTCTCGCAAGATCGGGAATGCGCGGGGTGTGGATCACTACAGTTCACACAATGGGCTTCATTGGAGTAAGAGTCAGTAGGGTGGTCATTTTTGCCACACTTGGCACAAGTGGCCTTACAGCGGCAGTTCTGAGAGCCGTGGCCAAACCTCTGGCAGTTGAAACACCTCCGAGGGTTAGGCACATAGGGCCGAACCCTGCAGTGCAGGTGGCCAGCCTTCACCGCGTCGGGAGTGTCGTGGGTTGGAAAGTTAAAACTTTGTGCTTAGTTTTTACGTTCCTGGCCATCACGACGCAAGGAGATGCACCTTGCAGCAATAACTCCTTGATCAGAAAGGCCCTCAACTATTTCACTGTCAGATGTCTCGAGAAAGTCATTCTAGGAGATAAGTTGGATGGAGTTCAAGGTGCGGTGAGGTGTGACCATGTTTTCATTATCATCTACAGAACTCAAGGCAAGGAGAGCAGCACTCTGCTCGCTTGATTCAATTTCGACGAGTAGGTCACCGGATGACATTTTCGTGGCTTTAAATTCCTTACCGACAACACCTTCGTGTGTATTTTGGCACAAGGAATGAAGATAATTTGAGAGTTGTTTCTCACTTTCAGAATAAACCAAAAAGTGGAAATTTGGCAGGTGTAGGTGATGTCTGTTTTTTACTATGGACTTCGGTGCGGACCCTTTTCAAGGGCCGATTGAGGAAGGCTTTTTGCTTGGAACCAATATGAAGGGCAGGAACTTCGGCATCTGTAGCGCACCACCCACCACGGAGTACAGCACGGGGATAGGTTACAGCTAATAACAGGTCTGTTTTGTCTGAGTATGTTACTCTACCAGTGTTACTGGGATGCTATAACCAAGTGTGGGTCAAGAGAGAGGTCTGTCGCCACCCAAGGGTAGCCCTTGCCGCAAGAGAAGGTAAAATAGGAAAGATGATGATAAGAAGAAGGTTAAAGATAGGAGAGTAGAAGAAAGGCGGTTGACTGAATCATCGTGGTCGGGCCAAGCCAGGGCACCCGTCTACGAGAAGGGGGGCCGAAGTGGTGTATTGCCTCAGCCGGGAGACCCCGAAGGGTCCAAACCTACCCCGGGTTGGACTCAACCACCAGGATGCCATTTTCCCCGGACACGGGAAAGCCACGCACAGCCACGCGTGGGAGGGCGAACCCGCATGGCTCGGGGACCGTGGTGACTCTACTCACCAAACACCTGCATTCACAGGTGCCCCTTGTGTGGCCCATCTGTTTGGATAACTGCATATCCCTCCACCTCACGTCCGATGGCGCGCATCTAGAGCGACCCACAAAATGGGCGTGCCCCTGATAGGGAGGCAAGAACGAGTTGGACAATCGCGAAGCGACTGATGCGTGCCCTCCTTGGAAAAGAGGCGAGGACACGAAATTGTTTTGTTTGACAGATAAATATTTTCCTGGGGAAGGGAAGTGCTTTCCAAAATCATTTTAATGTAATAATAAAGTAATTCGCATAATGAGTAGTATAAACACAAGGTTGGCAACTTTGACAACAATGAAGCTGATACTCGGTGTTCCTGCTTATTTATTTTTGTAGCATGTCACGTTGCCAAGTCACCATCAATTAAAAGCATAAAATGTCTTAGTGATTGGATCCCGACGTGAACAAAAACACATTTTATTTAACAGCGGAAAAGGCGACCACGAATCCCATGTATACGGTCCCTCCATCGGTGTGGAACCGGATCAGCAGAGAACTTGAGGTGGAGGTAATCACCTTCGGCAACTGTGGAAGTTAAGCACAACAGAGTGAAACTGGTGAAGTCTGCTGAAGGATACTTTAACGTCCACGCGTTTGCTGTAGAGATTCGCGTTTATATTTTTACTTATGTGTTTTGTTTATTTCGCCTGACGCGGGTGGTAGCATATGGCGACGTACACTCCTATGACCATGGTGCGTTGAAATATAAAAGCTTCAGTAGAAACTCGGCCTTCAGTGAGACATTTCTGCCTTCTAAAACATTTAGGTGAACGCACCATCAAACGCGCAACAACGGAAAGTTTACGTGTTGGAAACAGAGCTTCTTGTGTATATCTTAAAAAGAAAGTGAAGCGGTTCTGTGTTTGAAGCAAAACACTTAAACTGCCATCATTCGGCCTCCAGAATCACGATTACCGAGATTATAATTATAATGCAATTAAATGCAAAGGTGGAAGCGAGCTGTACAAGAATGATGAAAATAATCCACGGAGAAGGGGAAAAAGAGGGAGATTGGAGATTTATGTTTGTCCTTTGTCCCTCTTGTTCCCCTTCTCCAGGGATTATTTTCATCATTACCGAGATTAGTTTTCAGTTTCGTGCACGGATGGCTGCAGAAACTTATTTTTCAAGTACCATCGAGGCCCCTCCTTTACAGGGCGTGATATCATATAGGGAATTTTATTAGCTTCCGCTATCGGGCATCGTCACCGCTTATCATAGCTATGCACCTGCACTCTTACTATTTTAAAAGAGGCAAAAGAAAAAAAACGTCGCGACTCGCGCCAGTGGGGGGGAATATACCTGTCAAGCTTGCAATTGCACGCGCTGCCCACACGAGCGACACGCCCTTGGCGGCCGAAAGATCATAGTAGAACGTAACATTTGGTAGGAGGGTTTTTGCGTTTTGTTGCGGTTTGTTACATTCCCGGAGAACACGAACCCGAACAGATTCATAGGATAACAGGACTGTAGAATTTACATCTAACTAATTTTTTAAAGAACCTCTTCAGCTTCTCTTTAAGTCGCAAAAGACAATTTGTTTTGTAAGAATAATAAAGAACAATTAATGGCCGCATGATTTTCTATAATCGTTAACGCATAATGAGTTATATGGTTTTTACGTAACCTTATACGGTTCTCAACCAAGAACGAAAGTTAACAAGGTCGACTTTTGTTCCTGGTCGAACGCTGACGAAGCACTCGTCTCCTGATTTGAGGGCCTGTCCTTCATATAGCCTCATTTTCTTCAATATAGAGGCACGAAATGCACCATCCTGAACACATCTGTTGAATATTTTTACGCGATGCATTAAGGCCCGACTTATGCGCTGTCTTGATTGGGCCGACAGTTCGTTTGATTCAGACGATAGATGCGGTTGGAAAATTAAATCAACAGCATGTTTGATTTTAATTTGAACAAAGTTATTTTAAAGCAATATGTAAAACATATACCAACGCCGTTTCTGTGGATGAGTTTTATGGACAGGAAGACTAATATAGGAGGGGAATCCTCACAATAATTCAGATTATTAACTAAAAACTCATACACAATTTCTTGAATAGTGAAACTAAACAAATATGCTTTCAATCAGAAACTTGCTGAGCGTCACCGAAAATTATTAAATTGGTCAATTTTAGAAAGACTTTGGACGTCGTAAGCGTAGGGGTGGCCCAACCTTAACCCCCTTCAGGCATGGCGCAAAACTAGTGGTGGGAAAAGGGCGGAAGATTAGGTTATTATTAGCATTTTCACAACGTTAGCTTTATTCCCACTGCAAGGGTGCGTTCTCGCTTGGTGCGTTCTCGTGCTTCCTAAGCCCTCCAAATCTTTCTAAAATTGACTAATTCGGTTCGTTTTGATTACGCTCATCAACTTTTTGATTGTAAGAATCTGTTTACTTTCGATAATTACAATTTCAAAATTTTCGGTTATTATTTACCTTATCGGGAAGACTACCCCCTAACCGTATAACTCTTTTGCATAAACGGCATCACTAGAGTACATTTTACGGATTATTGTTTCTAATAAATCTGTTCGAATTAAAAAGAAAACACTCTATAAGGTTAAAAAAAACTTGCCTTTAAATACTTTTTTTTTCACGTTTAAAAAAAAGAAAGGATATTTTTGATACATTAGCTTAAGACTCGTGGATATTTTCGACCAACTAAATATATTCTTACGGGCCACATAATGTTCTGTCAGACTTGGCCTTCTCCGAATACGCTCCTTGAGATTCCGCTCACCTCGGCAAGGATTTAATTAAACCATGGATATTCAAATAAAGGCCCTTTGCCTAAAAAAGAGTTACGCATTTTTTTTAAATTGTTTAAGTATGTTTTTTGTGAGCAGTATATTTTGAAGCACCTAGCTTGGATGCGATCGAGAACTGTCTAGTTTTCACTAGGAAGTCTTCATTGTTAATTGAAGCTCCATGAAGGTTGTGTTTCTCGCACAAACCCACTAGGGAGACACACAGCTTGAGAGAAAGCTGCTGGCACGATTCCATTAGGTGAGAACACTATGGTGAGAACGTAAAACTTACTTCTTGTCCGCAGAAGAATCCCAGCTGTGAACCTGAGGCACTGTCGCCGTCGAAGACCTTGACGTAGTCATACCTGCACTTGTAGTCGTACTGCAGCTTGAACGCAACAAAGCGCAGCCGCACACGACCCGCCTTCGCTTGTATGAGCCATTCGCAGTCGTACCGGTTAGGGTAATATTCTTCCCCGTATTTAGCATGGGAGTAAATGCGTTGCTCGTTGAGGCCTGATGCCAGCACTCGTCCACCGCACGACGTCGAGTGCGTCACATTGAAGCCTTTTCCTCGTACCTCGCCATTGCTCTCGAAGACCTGCGCAATGAATGTGATTGCAATGTGAGCAGCCACGAGTTCAACCAAGAAAATTAATTTATATCTTATGTGATATTTCCTTTTTTTACTTTTTCAGCATGCTCAAGCTTCCAGAATTTACTTTCGCGCGCTCCGCAAAATCTGCAAGGCCTCGCAAGAGCGCAGAATGTTTAACCGTTTTAAATATAAAAACAAAAAAGTTTTATACCTTGATTTACCCAATAACACATCTTAAAATACTTTTCTATTATGTCGCATAAAAACAGACCTGATGTAAAGGCCCCCTATACACCAACTCATGTTTACAAACAAACCGGAGCGCCCCTACCGGGCGCCACCGGCACCGCGCATGCGCGATGGGGGTGTGGGCAAGAAGCTCGCTGTCGCCCATAAACAAACCATTGAAATGCGATGTTGTCGGCGTCAGTGTGAGTCCCCCTGCCCTTTTTCGCGTTCGAATTGTTGATTCTACGTCTTCCTGGCGATGTCTGACTACTTGAGCAGCCTCAGCGAAATTACCGAGGCTCATTACACCGCAAAACTTCGCGTGAACAATGTGGCGCGTGGCGATTCATTCCGCGTGGACGCCGCAGTATGTACGCTAAAGCCTGATTCGCATGATGAGGTTTCGCTCGCAATTTTCAGTCGCGACGCCGCTCGGGCTGCAAAAGCATGAACCGTAGCTGAGATGGTCGACGTCGATACTGAAAATCGCAAGCAGAATCGGACCAAGTGAATTAGGCATAACAAGTCGGTGATGGTCACTGCTAACAATGATCAACACGTCCTTGTATCTACTGTTTACATCGAGCCTGCTTACGAACCTTCAAATTTAAGTCTTTTGAGGCCTGCACTTACTTCTTATCGCAAGTACCGGGACAACATTTGGTCTGCGGGCCGGCGTTGTCTAAGAGAGCAGACGACAAACAGAAACGTTTGAAAAAGCAGACGACAGTTCGAACGATCAGGCGGCCGTTTGAACTTGAAGACGCACTGGACGTAGTCCGCAGGTGGGCCGCAGAACTTGACGGTTTTCTGGCGTTCATGTTGTAACAAAAAAAATAAATCTGATGACCACAAGTATCCCTGAATTCAACCCAAAGTGCTTCCCGCCCAAGCAATCGTTGTCCGACGGCGTCTGCTTTTCCCTTTTCACGGCACATATCCAGATTCCCGGACGAACCAAGCACGTGAAAACTGACCTTCAAACCTTTCTCGACACTTTTGGTACGGCCCCATTCGCGGCGTTATGACGAGAAGGCAGGTTTTTGTCTGGTTTCTTTCAAAACAACGCAGGAATACACGTCTGGTATGGGGACTTCTGCCCACAGCCCCAAACCGGAAGTGCGACCGACGCGCCACCACCGCGCCGTGACGTCACAGAGTTGAGCGCCAAGCCCTCTTTCCCTCGAGAATCTCTCGCTCTTTGTTCGTCTCCGGGAGTCTTTCCCTCTCCCAATTTGATGCTGTCCTTGCGCCGAGCGCCGCGACAGCTAGGTGATTACTGGAAACCCTAGTAGCCCTAGCTAGGTCGGTGTTTTCTGCTCGATTTCGACTGGCGGCCGTCGTGTTTAAGCGGATACGAGATACCGGTGCCCTTGATTTCCGGGCAACTGGGTATGTCCTTCCATTGCTTCAAGTCTTAAGCAGGCACGCGAGTTTTGCTGAGGCTTCGGCTGTGTGTCTACTCAAGTCAATCGGTTCGAGATCAGATGCAGCCATCCGCTTTATAAGCATTCACACAATAAATTGAATTGTGAGACAAATTGTCCTAATCTTATTTCCTCTTCAGCAAACAGGGGATCCAAGGCGATAAGCGGGTACGCGTTTCTATCATGGAATGCGAAGTCATGATCTTACGCTGCGAACGGAGCAAAGTACAAAGCAGTTTCCGTGTCGCCCCCTTGCTCGTATCAAAAACCGTCGACAGCGAGCATTATCACTGGTTGTCACTTTTTTTTTATGCCTTTACACGCCGAAGTGACGACGAGGTGAAAAACGTAAATGAGCGTTTTGTGAATACGTGCAAGCGAATTAGTAACGCCACGTCACAGTGGCTGTCTGATGACGTTTCTAGAAGCAAAAAACACGACATAAACTCTACAAAGAGAAAAGGAAGATCCATGGGTGGATCCTTGCGCTGGGCAGTCGCTGGTAGTGGACGGCACTTCCTTTAGAAAATCATTGACGATAGTATGCGGTTTTGTACAAGGCCACCAAAAGTTGTTTCTTTGACACCACGCGCAATAATCTTTAGTTTATTTTCTTCTGCGGCCTGGAGATACGCGGGGTTAAATAGCCGAAAAACGTCCTCGATAAATCTCACCACGCTTTTGCTTGGTACTTGAGTTCCCGACTGCAGTTGCTCTTTGGAGCGTTCCCGTCGTTGTTTGTTTGCAAAGCTTCGACGCAGCTCTGCCTTGAGGAGGTCCCAGTTGGTAAGCGACGCTTCAAAATTTTCTGACCAGTGGGGAAAAATAGACGTTTTGAAGACGCTGTTCGAAAGTCCATTCGTTATGCAGCGCCACCCGTTCGAATCGCTGAAACCAGTCTTCGACGCCTTCGAAAATGTCGCCCTGGAAGGTCGTCGGAGTTCGAGCGGCGACGGGCAGAAAACGACGGGGGAGGCAGCGGCGGGAGTCTAAAGGCGCGACCACATTGGCGTTTCGGAGGCCTGCGGCGCGACGGTCGTCGCTGCCGGTTGCCGGCGGAAACCAGTTTTCGGCTTCAACGTCACGACGTGCGGCGCCGCACACCCAACCGCTCCGTGCGCGGTTCAGAGCTTGACGCCGCACGCCGCAGAAGAGAGGAGCCAATGGGAGGTGGCGTAGATAGTGACGTCGCGATGCCATGGCAACGCTCAAGCCGGTCCTCGGCGCCTCTCGAAGCGAAGGACGTGTTTGGTGTCGTCTGCTCCCCCTATTTCCCCCCGATGCCTTCCCCAACGGAGCGGTTCCTTGAAACTAACCAATTCAGAATTACAAGTGAGTTTCTCCGTGGCACTTGTTGCATGTCGTCTCTGTTGTGACGGATGTCGTGTTGATTTGGTGACACTTTCGAAAGTAGCCTTCGTCTCTGGCGCGCCGCCGGGGCAGCAAAGCCCCGGCGGCGCGCCAGACCTGTCCTGTCCTTCGGTGTTTCGGTAGAACCAACCCGGCCGGACCCAAAACCTGCGCCTCCTTCCCTTCAGAGCGCGGCGACGTCGCAAGATCAACGAGCAGGTTAGGATAATCACATTCACGCTGATCACCAGGTCATTATGAACTCTTACCGTCTAGACAGCGAGTGCGGAACGGAAGAATCTAACGAAGAGCAGACGAAAGAGCGGGAAATCCGGCGGGAGGCGCGATCGCGGGAACCAGTGCTGTCACGTGACGCCTGCAAAACGGAGGCCAATGTGGACTCCTCGCGTTGGGACGCCGGACGGCGGTACCGCCCGGCGGCGCCGCCCGGCGGCGCCGTTCACGCTAGTGTGGTCGGGCCTTAAGTTTGCAGGCCCCTGAAGGTCATAGGTGGTTTCGTCGACCTCCTCCTCCGGGGGTCCGGTAGAAGTCCAAATTACGGGGAATCGCCTTGTTTCCGACAGCTCACTCGGGCTTCGGTTGTTCCAACAGGAGGGAGTCCACCGAAACTTGGAGTCGATCAGGTCCTGCTGCCTTTCGGGGCATACGAGGAAGACGCATGAAGTGCTGATCCTCACCTCCACCAGGAATGTCACGAATGACAGGAGCGAAATCGGCGAAAATCACGTTTGAAACAGTAAGTTTAAGGGGCCAACTTGCGCCAAGCAAAACAAAAAAACGAGCGTCGAGACAGCAGAAAAGAGGGCGGCGATTTGGGGACGTAACTGCAATTGAATTGATTGAATCGACAAGGTCACGTGCAGCTCGTTATCTAGAGTGAGTCGGTATCTCGAAAATTTGGCTCAGAAGGTTCGAGCGTCGAGCGTTTGGGGCGTGAATGAACAGGCGCTTTCGAAAAAAAAAAAAAAGTAGGACGAAATATTAAACGTTACGTCCTAAGTAAGAATAAACACGGATCCTCTAGAAATTCGTGACAGAGCATTGCTTGCTCGGACCCGCGTGAGGAAATATGGGACAAATAGTGTATATATACACACTTTTTTTTAGAGTGTACCTTGTGTGACCATGCATGTTAGCGTGCTTGCTTGTTATGTTGTTACCAGCGGTTCGTGGAATATTTTGACGCAGTGCCGAAAACGGCCCGCGTCGATATCATGCGCGGTCAACGGCCCAAAATCGCGAAGTGTTTCACTAACAGCTCTCGCTGTAATAAAAACTTAGTGAAATGGACGCCAATGAACCCGAGCTTGATAATATTTGTAATTTATTCTCGAATGGTTGGCGCCATCAACATGCAGGGAAAACAACGCACGACTAATGCTTCGCTTGGAGTGTGGGGTCCGTTCTGCTGCAGGCGCGTGTGTCCAGGGCGGTGGAGAAGCCTCAAAGACATCACCAAGCCTCTGATAGTGTTTTTTTTTCTTTTACGCTCCGGTAGCTCAAGGGAGATAGATATGCTGCGCCGAGCTCCCGCCCGCCTGTAATTTTACTTTCCAAGTGATAGCGGCGCCTGCACTGGGCGAAGTGCCGGTTTGCAGATACGCGGAAGACCGGGCAAAAAACCACTTCCTTTGAAAGTCCTCACAACGGCGGACCCCTGTGAAGCAACCTTTGACTGGGTGAGCCAAATTTTCACCAGTTTTTTACCAAAATTACCTGACCGCGGGGAAGATAGCTAGACCTGGCGAGGCCTATAGTGGGTTACAGCTCAAGAAGGTAGGGCGAGGGAAATAAAGGCCGGGGAGGAAAAAGCAGACTGAACGCTAAAGAAAAGAGGAGGTTTCCCCCTCTCTTCTTTAGCGTTCCGCCTCCTTTCTCCTTTCCGGCCTTCCTTTCCCTCGCCCTACCTTCTTGAGTTGCAGCGGACTATAGACTCGCCGGCGGCCCTCTCCCCCGTCAATTGGGCGTCCGGGGGTC